TTAAAGGCAGTTTAATGAACCCGCTCCCAGCAGCAGCTTGGAAGGGGAGTCCAGGGGAGGTGGATGTTCCAAGGGGAAGGTCCCTGCTTGGCCCTGCTGCCAGGGAAGGGCTCCCACAGGAATGGGGGAGCTCCCAAAGCGCAAAGGAGGAGAGCGGGGTCTGGGGGGCCCCACTGCTCTCCATGGCTGAGGGTTTGCCCCAAAACACAGAGGGAGCAAAGGAGGTGGTGACAGCGGGGAGGCCCTCAGGAGCTGAAGGGCGGCCCACTGGAAAATGCCACTGCGAYCAGCCCATGCTCTCCATTTCTCTCAGCTTGCATCTACCAGGAACAGTGGCCTCCAGTGCTACCTGGTCCCTCCGTTGGCCTTCCCGTGGCTCGCAGCATGGAGCTGCGAGGCCATTTCCTAGAGCCCAGGATGGAAAAGCCGGCGGACGCCGTGCCCTGCTTGGCCTAGGAGCTTCTCCCAAGTTGGCAGCCCCGGGCAGTGAGGCCGGGTCACACGTCACTGTTTGCAAAGAAGCTGATGGTGGTTCCGCAGGCCCTGGCACTCACCACTTTGCTGGGCCACATCACYTTCCAGCTAGAAGGAAAGACAGTCACTGCCTTATGGCTGTGCAAATGGGCTGTTTAGTGTGCTGGGCTTCGCACACTAGACCTCAGATGTCATCAGTGCCAAGGTAGAGGGACAAGGACAAGACAAGGGACTTTTTTTTACTCTTTTTGAAACACGTTACAACAATTTCTGGCATATTCTGATCCATTTTGGTATCCTTTTTGGATTTCCTGTCTATTTTTTTAAGAGAGCTTCCTGAGTGTGTTGCATAGCTAGGAAAACCCTGGCGAGCAAGCAGGCTTGGCTGCAGTATTACTAAATTGGTTTGTGTCTGGGGGTGAAGCACACAGCTTCCTACAGTGCCACCCTGATATTCAGTGCAGTGTTAATATCACAGCAGAGTCCTTAGGGTCTCTGGAGTGTGCCCTACGGGGACGCTCCATGGAAATGATGGCTTTGGTACGCCAGGGATGACGCCATCAGGATGTACAAAGGGGCGGTGTTACTCTACCAMCGAGTAAAACACACAATTTACTGTAGGTGAGCTTATTCCAGGTGCAAAACATCTGGAAGGAACATTATGTCATCTGTTCCATTTTCCACTAAAGTGCCTATTTGTCACCAGATAGCCTCACTCGGATCTGAAGGCAGAGCCACGAGAGAACATGAAAATCCTTGGAAAAGGGGATTCATTCTGTTGAGAAGAAATTTGGCAATACAGCTTTAGAAGTCATAGAGCAAATAGAATGACTCATTATTTATCAACAAAGAAATGGCCTTGAGCAGGATGTAGTGGTCTGGGACGGGCTGATGTCACAGCATGGACTGGGAAAACTGCAAAGACAATTAAAGTATTATGACTATCTTTAACCACATAGTACAAGCAGACACTTTATTACTATTATTAGTCACTACAATTCTGTAATTCTACAGCCCACTCCATCCGTGTATGAAGTTGTGAAAAATTTATGTAGCAGATCATTAATTGTTCTTACAAATTCCTTCTCATTTAAGTTTCTCTGAGAGATGYCTAAACTGGGCAAAGTGGTTTGRGGGAAAAAAAGAAGAAAAAAAAAAGGGCCATGAAGTTGTCCCTTGGGGAACAAAAATATAGTACTGCCAACACAATCTATTGAGAAGAATGAATCAGCCTCTTGGAGAGAGTGGTTCAAACGATAAGACTAAATAAAAAAAAGTGCTATTCTTTATACTTGGCTTCTGTTGCTTTTGCATATTTAGGGCCTACATTTTAAGCTTTTCTTTGCAGTCACAGTAGCTAGAAACATATTCTTTTAATGGAAAGTGCGAATCCAACTTAATCGCCTGAATCCCAGAGCTAGAGCTCCAAGGAAAGCTCTGTTCCCCCTCTGCTTGCGATTTGGCAGCGGGAAAGGTGCAGACAGCTTCAAAACTTCCAGGGACAGCCCGTAAAAGATCAGTGTTTAAACAGTAATCCTTAGCAATACTAATGGCCTCCAAAGGAGCAAGTTTCATCCCTCCAGGGGGGGAGAAGCGAGCACTGCAATACCRCATTTTTTTCCCTTTTGAATCACATAGGAGAAGATGGGGCACACTGTAAAAGCAAGCGGCCGGAGTATGAATATCTCCAAAGCCTTTATCACTTGGAAGAGAAGCAGAAACCGAGGGCTGTCCAGGCAGCACCGCYCTCTCTGGAGCAGGGCTGCCCCAGCGCTCTGCTCACGCGCCGTGTTGGACACAAAGGACCTAGCACAGACTTTCTGGGGGTCAACACATCAGGCGAGGGGTTCCCTCGACCTTCCTCCGAGCCACGCTGCGAGTAGTGCTGCCCGTTTGGAGGAATGTCATGACTAACCTTGGGAAAAACAGCATCCAGCTGTGTTCTTCTGTTGGCCAAGGAGCACCCATTGAAACAGGGGAGAACCAAAGTTGCGACTTTGGGGTTCAGGTAGGGTGATTATAGYGAGGGGCTCGAGTCAAAGAAGCCAAAGTAACTGGACCTGGACTCAGAAGAAGTCTGAACTCTGACTCAGGGGCTGCCTGCGTTGCTTGGAAAGCACCGGCGCTCACAGTCCCTGATGGGCCTGCTTTCTACAGACATGTAGGTGCTTTATAAAGAGAGTTGGGTACCTCAGTGCCTTGAAAATCCCCCGTTTTCACCATTTTCCCTTGGGGCTTACTGGCTGTACTGGTATAAGGCTGAGCTCCTTAGGCTCAGCACGGATCACAGATGCCACTAGCGAAAGGGGTCACGGTTTGGATTTTGGCAGAAGTTTTCTTCAGGCAAACAGAGACAAGGAGCTGAGGAGCCAGATCAGCCACTCACTATCTTGATTGGCCTCCCAGGGAGCCCATAATGGCCATGCTAAGGCAATGGCTCAGCTCATCCCCTGAGTCACAAACCTCACCAGAGAAGCAACCAAGAGGCTTCTCGGTGCCGAAACGGGTACTACTACATGCTGAAAAACTAAGGGGGGAAATCCCCCCTCATATGATAGGCAAACACTTATGAATCATATGAGAGGCAAACCTAGAAGAGACCAGGATGCCAGAAGAAATCTGCAGGAAGTGCTGCAACACAGAAAATGTATCAGGAGCATCTAAGTGGCTTTATCAGAGTCAAAACTTCTCTGCTTTTTCTGGTCTGCTTGGCTCCTAACACAGAACGTTATCAGTTCTAGATAATTTGTGCTGCCATTTGCAGAAAAAAAAAAAACTAGGGAGATTATTGTTCATGAGAAATCACTTTTTCAATTAATTTCTAGCCTCTTTTATTAGATTGCTCCAGTTATCTTTGATCCCCATTGCTGGAGGCTGTTCCAAACAGCGATGCCTCCGATACATGTGAAGAAGCCCCAAAACAGCCGCACTCTGCGGGAAGCCGCCGCTGCAGACGGTCGGCTCACCTTGCTGCGCTCAGCGCTGAAACGAGGGGCAAAACCACAGCCTCTCCTCGCCAGCCTCAGCCTCYCCTCACCCCGCAAGCTGCAGATCAGCAACCCCCTAAGCTCTAAAGCAACAATGTGGCCTGTCGATACTGTGCGCTGCTTCCTTATATATTGCCGAATGACAGCCCCTATGCAAGAATAAGTCACAAGTTTAGCCTTGTGGGAGCTCTCTGAATTCACAGGTGGCAATGTGGTTCCTCTGGGAGAGGATCCAGTATCTGCTTTGTTATTTTTTTTTCTCCTTTTTCATTATTCCTGGGACCTGGCACATTTTTCCTCTTCTTTCCTTGGTTATCATCTTCTGACAAAACCAAATCTGTAAAGATGAAGCTGTTTTTATTAACTTCTGGGAGCCCATATTGCACCTGCTCCAAGCTTTTACCTAGCCAATCAATCAGCATGGCTCTTCATCATGCCCCCTTTAACCTCTCTTTAATCTGGCACCGGCACCAAAATCTATTTTGCCAACACCTTGCCCCACATTTGCCCGTTCTGTGCTGGTAGCGTGTCCTGCATGGAAAGCTCAGCATAGCACAGCGTGCGGGGTAAGTGGGAGGCAGAGRGGGGAACCTGTGGGTTTTCTCCTCACCTGCCGTTTGTCTCCTGCTTGATTTGAGAACAGGAGATGCGTTAGGTCCGGGATTCCCTGGAAGAGCGCTGCCCTCCTCCTGGCCATTTCTGCTGGAAGCCCAGGACCATGCTCTGGGGCTTTGGTTTGGTCCATTTT